TTAATAAAACATTTTATTTTTATCAAAATACCAAGTTTTAAGGTCTGTGAAAATCCAGAAATCAGGTTTGAGAGTCGGTTACGCGTGGGAAAGGATTAGCACCCTCACAAGCGCCCAAAAATTGGTACCTAGTTGATTACCCTATATTTAAAATTGGAAATTTTGAGTTCGAACATTATTTAATTTAAAAATCATTACGGATGTAAAGTTGAAAAGGGTATTTGTTTATTGAAGCCGATAGCATTTGCCCCTAGCATAAACGCGAGAGATCATCTATTATACTCGATAACCGAATATTGCCTTGATTATAAAATTCATGATGCGGTGTTTGAAAATGATTTCGAACTATTTCGGGAATCACCAGTAGTGACCCCCTGAGCATACCTGCGGGAGATATACTATTAATTCCCTAATAAGTGAACATTGCCTTAGGATTAAAAATAAAATGCAATCAAACAAATTTTATTTATCCTAATTAAGCAAAGGGTAAATTTAAGGCTCTCTCTATCCTAAAGTGTGGAATTATGAAAGTTAAAGAACCTAAAGGCAATAACCTAAATGTAGGCTCTAATATTTACCCTATTTGATTTTTAAAACAGCTATTGAATCGAATAACCGAGATGGTCCTTCGACCATTTAGGCGAGGGCCAACTCGTATTATTCCCTAAATTAAAAGACTAGTTTGAAATCTAATCTAAAAATAAAGGCTATAATATTAACCTAAATTAATTTTAGGCTTCGAATAATTAAATTGGAACCTCGAGGAAAAGCAAGGACCAAATTAAGAATTCTCCTAATTAAATGATTAAAGTTTTTTCTAAATCAAGTGATATATCTTAAAGCTAAATTAAAATTAAATAACCTAAATAAATACGATAATAATAAAAAATTAAAATACAAATTTAAGAAACTAAAATAAAAATGTCGGTAAAGTGCAACTGAAAGAAAATTAAAAATGAAAAAATTAAATAAATTTAAATTATAATAGACTTTTAACTAAAATAAAATAGGGAGGAAATAGAGGGTAGTAAATCAACATGCTTTACAAGAAATTTAAGTAAAGAAAAAAATATAATCAAAGGAAGCGAACAACAAAATTAAAGAAAAAATAAAAGGTTAGATAAATATATTTAATTTTATGTAATTGAGAATAAATTTAGAAAATATTAAATTAATAAATGGTAATTAAGTAAAGGGGATTGAATTAAAACAAAACAAAATGACAGATCAAGATAAAAAGGGATTAAACAACGTTAGATGAAAAAATCTAAAATATAATAAAACATAAGGTAAGATGCATACCTATAAAATTGTAGAAAATTAAATAAAAACAAAAAGGAATATAAAATTGCAAGAAAATAAAAAGTTAGGGGTTAATTTTAATAATTTTACTTGGACCATAAATAACGCAAATCATAACCCAGAACAATTCATCCCAAGATTGTAAAATAATTAATTAGAGGGCTGAAACGAAATAAAGTATAATACAACAACCAAACTAAAACAAACAAAAATTAAAATGAATAAGTTAAAAACTTCATCGTCCAATTCATAATAAAATAAAAGATAAAATCAACCAGTGACTATCATGAAATAATATCAAGATCAGTAGCTAATTTCAGATAAATTTGAATTGTAATAATGGTGACTAAAATGAAAGAAAGCGCCTAAAGTTTAGGGAATAAAGAAGGATTTATCCAAAAACTTTTGTGATAAAAGTATAAGGTACTCTGAAATATAGGGACCTAAAGCATGATTTACCCAAAACTTTAAAACAAACCCTCCCTTTTTATATCTCCAGAAACCCATGAAAACTTAAAATCTTTCCCCCTTCTACTTTCATTTTCTCTCCATGCTCTCCCTCTCCTTCCATGTTCCGGTCGCCGCTCACCAAGCAACAAGAAAGACACCGGTCGCCGAGCACCGACGACCACCTAAGGTAAACCGACATTCTTCCTATTTTTTTAAATTGAAAAAAAGAAAAGAAAAGTTGTTGGAAAAAAAGAAAGATGATACCTTTGAAGGTTTCTTTTGTTGTTTTATTGATTTATAAAAAAAAATGGGTGTGCCGCTTTTACAACTTGATTTTTTTTTGCGTACAGGAAAGAAAAGAAGAGAGCCCCCTCCCCCTTCTTACATGAATTTTGTGGGGTTTTTATAACCCATGTTAGCCCCCCAAATTACATTGCTTTTATGTGTTTCCTTTTGTATGTAATCTGTTGATGGTGCTACTATTAGGGTGAATGGGAGCTGTTGCGTGGAGAGATGGAGGCATGGGGCAGCATAGAGTGCTTTCCTTCGGTTGGGGCAGAGAGCGGTGGCATTTGGTTAGGGAAGTTGGCCACTTCAGTAGGGATTAGGATTAGACTGAAGATCCGGGTTGGGTTTGATTCGGATCGGGGTTGGGTTTGGTGTTTGGGCTAGAGGCCCAGTTGTAATTTTGGGGCTGGTTTGTAAAATAAAAAAAATGGTGCTCACAATATATATATACACACACGCATGTATATATGATATATGCATATTTGTCACTAAAAATTTCATGCATGACACAACCTATGAAAGAGTTCATGATAAATTCTTTAATTATCATTTTGGCCCGCGACTCGACCCGCAATTCATCTATTAAAATTTATGCGTTTTTCAAGAAACATTATGTTCATGCCATCTATATTTAGAGGTAATTTATTTTAGTCTTTTAATTACAATTTGTTTTCTTCTTAAATTTTGCATGATAAATTCAATTTTTTTATTCATCCACAATTGATTGATTAAAGTTATGAATCTTTATTTTGTGATTTCTGAAGGGATGAATCATGCGATGATCATAAGGGGCTTGAAAACCTAAACAACTTTAAAATGATGATTTCGAGGTTTCGAATGGATGATTGGTTTAATCTAAGGATGATAATGAGAGGTCATGAATTAAAGGCATGTTGAGAATAAATAAATCTACTTGGTTGTTATATTTTAACTTATGAGGTCAGATTATTTAGATTTATTATCTTTATATTTATATTTAATATCACATGATTTTATTTTACAAAGGCACATATGTTAGTTCTATGCAGAAGATATAACACTTTTTGTCCATAATAATTGAAACCTTTATAATAAAAGTGAGAAAATTTACTAATGATTAATTAAAAAAATTAGTGTGACAGAATGAGAGTGCATGTTTAGGATTAGTTTTAGAAAATACTTGGTATTTAAGCGTGCCTAATGCACCACCTCTAATTTTTCAGAGACCTACTTGGTGCACTATTTGGTTCTATACTCACTATTTTTCATAAATACTATGAAAAATATACACACTTTGTAACTTATAGAAGAAGTCAAAAAAGTGAAATTTCATAATCTTATTAAGATAAGATTTTTAGTCATAGTAGTTGAGTTATTAATGGTCTCTTTAAAGTCAATATTTCACTAATATGATATTATTAATTTAGACAACATAAGATTAGAGAATGTGGGGTAGCTGGAAATAATTCTCTATCCTATGAATGATATAGAATGTGGGGTGTCTAAAACGAAACTATGATTTTATGTTGTGTTATGAAACATATAAATCTGTTTGTACGAGAATGACTCTTTAAATTGCATGAAACTTAGAGAATTTTCTCATAGTTTGAAAATCTTGGATTATATATGTGAAATCCTAGTGTTAAAGATTATTAAAACTGATAAAAAGATACTATTCGAGTATAAGTATTTTTACATAGAAAAATTTTAGTATTTAGATGATTCTTGAAATAGCTCTCTTAGCATAAAATTGAGAAATAATTAATGGAAATAATGTTTGAATGCTAAAGATTTGGAGAGTTTTTATACTTGACCTGACATCTATAACATACTCACAATCCAATATTAGATACTGAAAGAAATTTTAAGTATTTTCTTGAGAACTTAAAGTTTCTAATGACTTATTGGTTACAAATTATTGAAAAATATCATAGAGTCTTAAAAGGATATTATGATTATGTATTTGATAATGCATCGATAAACTTCTTTTAGTAGTCACGTGTTTATTTTGGATAGAGCAACTTTTGTAAAGATTTGTGAAAATTTATTTTAATAACTCTATTGTGAAGTCTGAGATGCTAAGTGAATACTTAACTAGGTAAGAGGTTGAATACCTGAAGAATCTATCTTGTTGAAAAATTCTTAAAGAGAAATATTTATCGTGCATGGTTTTACATAATTCATATAAGTGGTTTAAAAATCAAGCCTAGAATAAAAAGATAAGACATAAGTCCGTAAATTAAAATGATAGTACTTTGAGGTACATGAGAATTGAAGAGAATTTATTTTGATCTCTTAACTTAAGAGTTAATATAAAAATTGATTCATGATTTGTCGAGGGGATAGGTCTTAAACCCATTTGGTTGAGGAATTCATGGTGGACACCCAACTTAGTCTTCTAAGTTCAATGTGGTCAAATGAAGCCATGAAAAGACTCATAGTGTACATTGTTGTCTATCCCTATGGCAAATAATGTACATGCATAAGGATAAACATTTGCTCTTAATGGTAGCCTAAGTTTTGGGTGGTCATAGTGAGAAGGATTGATAAATTCACTGACGTGAAAGGATGAGATTTACACTATCAATGAATTAATGGCTCAGGATTTGAGTGGTCCTAGTGAGACAGACTTGATGAGTTCACTAACTTGAGATGTTGAGTCTTGCGCTTTTAAAGAGTTCATATCCCAGTATTTGGGTGGTCCTTGTGAGACGTTGCTTGATGAATTCACCGAATCTTATAACTGAAATGCCAAACGAGTTCCATTTCCTTATTTTGGGTGTACAAAATATGGAAAAATGTGTTAACCTTGGGGGACGACATCCACTTTTGGGACTACACCAATCAAAGAGAAATTTCTTCTAAGACAATGATTACACGACACAATAATTATATTGTCTTTATTTATTTATTTATTTATTATTTATGTTAGTAAATATTAATATCTCCATTTTGTAATAGTAACTTTTTCTAACAAGGGTAAGAGGAAAGGTTAAGGCAAATAAAGGTATCCTGGTATAAGCAAACTTTAGCCTTTTGTTTTGTTGTTTTGGCTTTTAATATTGTATAAGGTTCGCTAAGTTATTGTCCGAATAGTTTTGACATTGGTAGAAAGATGAGTTTGAGCAAAAGCACAAAATTGTTTAAGGTATATGATAATATCACTTTTCAATCTCAACAGGTACAACCAAGTCATCCAAGTATTGTCATCGACTATTGTTATGAGAAAAAGTCCACTATGGGTGGATATACGATAGGAACCCCAAAGATTTATGTGAAGAAGCTCAAAAGGAGTGGTAATCCTAGAATGACTAGTGGGAAAAGGTAAATGGTATTTATTAGCAACAGGGAAAACAGGACAAGCATACAAATCATGAAATTGTAATGAGATGATTGCAAAAAAAGAAGTTTTATTAAGTTTAGCAGCAGGAGCATGGCCAAGACAACCATGCCAAAGCTGAACAGATTCAATAGTAGAAGACATACATTTTGAACAACCAACACAATTAGAAACAAAACACAAAGGATTACAAGATATAGTAGAAGGTATACCAGACCCAAAACTTGAAGAATCAATGAAGTACCATCCATGGGACATCTTACCAATCCCCATCATCTTCCTATTGTAAAGGTCCTGCAGAATACAAAAGGTAGGATAGAAGTGAATATGACAGTGAAGCACTTTAGTTAATTTGGACATAGAGAGATGATTATGATTAAAATGAGGTATGTATAAAACATTGTAATCGAAATCTCAGGAGTGAGTAAAAAACCTAATATGAGAGATAGGAACAGTCTTACCATCCGGTAAATGGAAAAACGAGACTCTAGGAAACAGGAAATAGGAGTAATCAAACTTTTAAAGTCAGACAACATGTGGTCTGTGGCACGCATATCCAAAATCCACCTCAAGGAATCACAAGAACTAGTGAAAGAAGACATACCTTCCATATTCGCATAAGGCTCATGCAATGAACCTTTGTTCATTAAATTAAGAATTTGATGATACAAAGCTGAAGTAAACAATATAGCTGTCGAAGAAGGTTCTGAAACAATGTTACCAGCTAAAACAAAAGAATCAGGATCAGACTTATCCGAAACCACAATAGAATGATTAGTCTTCTTCTTGGTGAAATGAAAATCAAGGGAAACCATTGAGACGATAACATGGGGCACGCCTGTAACCCTTAATGTGGTAATGATCACAAACGCCATTGAATCGTTGTTTATCAGTACTTGCATAGGAAGTGGAATAACATGGCTGATGATTCAAATTTCATTGGAGAAATCCCAGAAAGTTGAACACGTTGGGATTCTTCTTTAATGACCATTGAATAGGTTGATAACTCTTCAAAAGATATCATTTAAGATCTTTTTACCCAGGTTGAGCTCGAATTTTAACATTTTTAGGATCATATTAAGATCATTTTTATATATTTTTCATCATTTGCATCACGAGAGTAAGTAGGTGGAAGTTGGCTTGATTTTAATGTTTTATGCTGAAAACTGGTACGTTGATGTTGTGGCAATTCTCGAAGCTACAGGTGATGATGTGTCGAATTGTTGAACATAACCTGCAACAACGGGTGACTTAGCAGACAGTTATGGATATTTTTGGATTCGCAACTGTCTAATACATCTGAAAATTGCTGAAAATATAGGAAAAATCATATTTCCCTATTGGAGGATGCTTGACCATGTGGCCTTATAAATAGGGTCTCCCTTCACGCTTTTGGGAGGAATTTTTCATATCCTACATTTTTCTCCACCACTTTCAGCCATGATGGTAGCCTAATTAGCTTTTATGTTTTGAACTTGAGAAAGAGAAAAACATTATTGTGAATGTTGAATGTTTATTATTGTTTTATTGGGTATCAAACATAAAGTGTTCGAGTAAATGCTTGAATGATGGTTTTTTTTAACTATGTTACGAGCTGTGGTTTTACTATGATGTTGATTAAAGATAATAACATCTTATGCATGTGAGTTTTGGTTAGTTTTATAGATAAAATTAGTTAAGGATGCATGCTAGCTTTGATACAAAATAGGTGATTACAAGAGTAACACATCCGTATAGAGATATAGGATGCCTATGCTATGCTTTGTTAATTATGAACTTATTAGTTTTGTAATGAGAGTTAAAAAATAATTGGTTGTAAAATTAATCATTGCAAGACTCATGAAACATAGTGCTATAACATGATTATTATAAAAGTAGCCCATTATGAAAACATCTTAGGTTCATCAGTCTGAATGCCCATTATTTGCTGCAACATTTCCCTGCTCCTTAACTTTGGTATTTTTTCCTTCTACTTTTGTTTGTTAATCATCAACTTTAACTCTTTTTTGCTACACTTGAACTCTACTATAATCAAATTGCTCCCTGTGGGTTAGACATCTATAGCATTATTTTGCTACCACTTTATTACTTGTTTGACAGTGTATGTTTGTAGTTTGTTGTAGCATTTACATAATATCAAGTTTTTGACACCATTGCCGGGGTATTCATGCACAATGTATGTTTGACAATGTATGCTTGCATTTTGTTGTAGCATTTTGTTTAGAGTTTCTTTTATGGCTTACTTATTTGTTTATTTCTTTTTTTAGGTACTTATCTTTTCTAGTTTAATTTGTTTATGCCCCGAAGTGACAACTAACTATAGCCTTTTGATCTGAAAATAGAACAAACATTTTGACGCCGTCGAAGAGAAGCTATGAGAAATCAAGTAAACATAAACGTTGGAAATGGAAACAATGCCCTACCTCCGCTACAACATGGAGATGATATTGAAATATCTACTGGAAATGGAGCTGGGCCGCAACAATTCTATAATATGGATGATCGAAACCGACCCATCTGAGAGCATGTAGTGCCAACACTTGATTATCTATATCCTGACATTGTGCGACCAATAATACATGTTGCCAATTTTGAGCTGAAGCCGATCATGTTTCAGATGTTGCAGTCTATAGGGCAATATGGTGGTTCATTTATTGAAGATCCTCGAGCACATGTTTGAGCTTTTATGGAAGTATGTGATTCATTTGTCCAACAAGGAGTTCATGAAGAGGCATTAAAGATGAAGTTATTCTCTTATTCGTTGCGAGATAAAGCAAGAGCATGGTTGACATCTGTTGAGTTAATCGATTGGAAGAATCGGCCAAGAGGGGGTGAATTGGCAATTAAAAACGTCGATGGAAGCTTTGACAGGAAATTGAAAATATTTGCACAGCGATTTAGAGTAGTTCGACTTTCTCAATCAAAGTCTACGTCCACTACCTTAGCTATCCACACTAAGGATTTTCCACAAATTCACTAATTTGTCTTTCTTTTGAGGACAAAGAGTAACCTTACAAATCCCTCAAGAATTATACCCCAAATTCTTAAGAACACTCTCTCCCAAAGAGAAAATTACAAATTCGCAAACTTTACAGAAAAACCTCACAAGGTAGATTGTTTGCACAATTTTAGAACAAGAAAAGAACACTCAAATATGAATACAATTGAGCACAAAATGTGTTCTTGAAAGCAAAATGAATATTGAGTGAAAATAGGCTTGAATTTCTCAAACTTGATGTTTGATGCTTTCTCTCTTGATTCTTTCTCAATTCTTGTGGATCATAGGCTTCAGAACTTGTTTAAATACACATTGGATCAATTCTGAACGTTGGGGATCATTGGTGAGGTCAATAGATCCGTTGTGTGAATTCATCTTCAAAAAACTATAGGGAGCGTAGGGTTATCGATACCCATTGAGCATTCTTTTTTTCTCGGAGCCAAAATCAACATAAGGAGTATCGGTACCATTGAGCTAGGTATCGGTACCTCTTTGAATAGGGGTATCCATACCCTTATTGCATTCGAAGTATAAGAGGTATCGATACTTCTTAGGAGGGTATCGGTACCTCCCTATTTAAAACTCATTTTTGGCTTGATTTTGGTTTGAAATACTTTGTAAAAATTATTTCAAAAATGTTTTAATATTGAAAACTTGGAGTAATATATGTGATATTCGATTAATTGGATCGAATATTATTTTTGAAATTGAATATAAAATCTTAAAATTCATTAATACTTTATTTGTTATATCGAAACATCAAAATATTTTCAAAAATCTCCCCCTTTTGATATAACAAAATATTTAAGAAATTTTAAGATTTTCTTTTGAAAAATCATTTTTGAATATTTACTCCCACTCCCCCTTACTTATTCTCCCCCTTTTTGTTAAATCAAAAAGACTCTATGAAAATGTTTAAACAAGATAGCCAATTGATTTATATAATTATAGCTGCTAAGATCAAAGTCAAGAGAATTTTAGCCATTAGTCCATAATCAATATTCATAAACATATGTAATTTGGAATTGGTCATAAATTAACTAAGATGCAAATGATGCAAAGATTGATGAAATTAACATAAACATTAAGTTCAAATTAAACATTCAAACCATTCAAACACACAAATATCCAATATCCAAACAAACAAATCCAAATAAATATTCAAACAACCATCCAAAACATTCAAAATATTTTAACAATCAAGAGTTCATAATTCAACCTAAGAAAACTAGCAAGGCAAGGTTTAGTCATCCATCGGTGATAGATGTGCCCATATATTAGCCATATCTCGTGTCATCTCATCGACCCTTGTGTTTAGTTCATCAAAATGAGCTTGAGTTGCCCGTTATTGCTCGAGATGTTGTGCAGCGAGCTGAGACTCAAGGGATGTAAACCTCATGTCAAATGTCTCCCTGAACGATCAAAAATATGGAGGCATCTGACTATCTTGCTCGGATGGCTCATCCTCGGCTAGATTGACGGGATCATCGACATCTCGGAGAAGTTCTTCAAGCTCAGGATCAGCAGCCGCTGCTGAAGCAGCTCGTGAAGAGTTAACACCCAGAGTTTTCTGGGTTGAACGAACCCATTGATCCTTGTCACCACTCCATCCCGATTTACGCAAAGTTTTAAGATTTATTTGGGAGGTAAGAGGGATGGCTACATCAAGCTTGACCTTAAGCTTGGCTTTGATAAACATATTACTCAGAAGACAACCGTAAACTAAAGTTTCTACGCGTTTAGAAGGGATATTGTTTACGGTTTCAACGAGTTCGGCAAAGATAATTTTAGGTAGGTTTATTTTCCTATTTTTCTGGATACAATGTATCCACTATAAATCTAAAGCTCTAAGAGTGGAGTATTTGCCTCCGGATGGTCTAAACCACCAAGAGATGATCAGATGAAGAAAACGTTCATGGTGATCTAACAACGTACTCGCACTAGACTTAGCTTTATAAGGAGTACCTACTATTTCTCGTTCATTGTCTAAGCTGTTATTATCTAAACCAAATGCGTTAACAATGAATTCGGTGTCAATATAAATGTATTAGCCTAGGAGATAAGACCTAATACTTACAGTGGCTGTTTCAGACTCGTTTTGGATACAAACCGCATTGGAATAGAAAATGCGAACGAGTTATTGGTAAACAACTGGTTCAAGTTGAAAATGTTTATCAAATTTCCAAGTTTGAATGGTAGGAAGATATCATCATGGCTTGAAGAGAAGGGATACGTTCTTCTCGAATTTTATACGACTCGAAGAGATGAACAAACCTAGTGTAAATATTTTCCCTACGACGAGGTTCGTTAAAGCACGAGTTTTGAATTGTTATTTCGGAGTCATTTGGATTTTGTGGTTGAATAGGAGGTGGATTTGAAGGTCGGTTTGAATGACTCGAAGATGTCCTAGGGCGTTTAGACTGAGACATGGTTACGAAATCAGAATATATAGAGTACCTGCAATTTAAAACACATGTATGCAACATAATCAATCCCAAAACTCAATATGAGTCTTCAATAATTCAAGGTTCTTTAAATAATATTTTAATGGGAAAATTTTGAAAACTATTTTGAAAGTGATGTTTGAAAAATCATAATATGTATAGTATTCATGAAAATAACATAATTAAATCAAAAACATGAATTTAAAAACAAACCATTTTTTTATTTTGAAAATTTTAAAAAAATGAGAAAATCTTGTGTTTTTTTATGAAATTTGTTGTAGATTCTTGTTCTAAATCAAAATCTAACAAATGCCCAGTAACTATTTTGAACTAGAACTAACTATAACTAGTCCTATGTTCAAAAATCAATAAAACAATGGTTTAGAAATATTACCTTGAAAATTTGAAGATTGAGTGAGATTTGTTGTTGTTTGCACGATTTTGACGATACTAGCAGGATTATAAGTTGAAAACTAGTTGAATTCTGACATGTATTGAAGGTTTTGAGTAGTAAGGGTTGAGAGAATAAGCAACCGGTTATGAGTGTTGTGTTTTGGGGGTTTTGACAAAATGAATTTTTAGGGATTTAAAGCCTAAATCCGACAGGGGGTATCGATACCCATAGAGGGGTATCGATACACATTCAAAGAGGGCATCGATACACGTTGAAGCAGTATCGATACCTAGCTAGGGGGTATCGATACCTGGTGTACAAAAATGTCAAAAATCTGCTTTTAATCACTCAACATGCAAAATTAATCACCTCTAGTGATATTGCCAACTCATATTACAAAAATTAATTATGTTCAATCAATCAAATCTGCCCTTACATTTTATTTGAACATATTATTAATTTTCTCTAAAGATCATAAACTCCCCCTAACTATTAGCATACAATGCAATCAAAAATGTCATTTTTATATGCATTTTTCATTTCTAATTAAAAGTACTAAAATTATTTTAAACGCTAAGTCAAGGTAGGTCAATTAAATCTAATTCTCTCCTAAGCGTCCAAAATCTCTCTTTATCTAAAGGTTTTGTAAAAATATCAGCTATTTGATGCAAAGTATCAATAAATTCTAGAACTACATCTCCCTTTGTGACATGATCTCTAATGAAATGGTGTCTAGTTTCAATGTGCTTAGTTCTAGAGTGTTGGATGAGATTTTTAGTGAGACAAATAGCACTAGTATTGTCACACTTGATAGGTATGGTATCAACTTCAATTCCATAGTCTAAAAGTTGTTGTTTTTTCCATAAAACTTGCGCAACAACTACCGGTTGAAATATATTTCGCTTCAGTGGTATATAATGCAACACTATTTTGTTTATTTGAAAACCAAGAAATCAGCATATTTCCTAAGAATTGAAAAGTATCGGAGGTGTTTTTCCTATCTATTTTGCATCCTCAATAATCCTCATCAGAGAAGGCATGCAAGCTAAAGCTAGAGTCTCTATGATACCAAAGTCCTAAACTAGGAGTTTCCTTAAGGTATCTAAAGATTCTCTTAATGGCTTTTAGATGTGATTCCTTAGGGCATGATTGAAATCTAGAACATAAGCAAACACTAAACATAATATTCGGTTTACTTGCAGTTAGATAAAGCAAAGAGCAATCATAGGCCTATAAAGTTTAACATCTACATATTTACCTCATTCATCTTTGTCAAGATTTGT